ATTTTCAGTGTTAGGAGGTTGATAAAGCTCTGTCAAAAGCAACGTGCCGAAACCAGGGATTGAACCAGTGACCTTTAGATCTTCAACCTAACGTTATTCCATACAAATCAGAAATTTCAAATTTTGAAATACATTTTAAATCAAAGACATTCAAATCATTTTGGTGTAATGCAGGATGGCACAAGGGTACAGCATGCTTTAAAATTTTTTTGAAAAATGCTGACTTTAGAAAGAAATATTAGGGCACTTTCAAAGGGTTTTGAAGGTTTTATGAATCTTGGAGAAAGTCTCTTAATGGACAATTGGAGGCTGAAAAACTGCAATATAATATAAGTGAATTAGTGGAAAGTGTATGCATTGTGTAGAAGAGGTCTCTAAAACAAAGATTATGAAACTGAAAGTAAATGTTTTCAAATTTTTTGAATAATACTATTTTTAATAGGTATTGTAGTACACTTCCAGAGGGTTTAGGGAGTTGAATGGCAGAATAATAAATGTAATACAGTGGAATCCCGGTAATCCGGACCCGGCTTGATCCGACTTGTAATTTGTCGGATTACAAGGTACTCTACTGTAAAAAATTCCGGACTGTAAGGGGTCTTAGTTCTCTATAATTAGACAAATTCGCTCAACCGACACACAAGATATATGATGTTTTCCACACCATATTCTTAGTTTAAACAATATAATCATTACTATCATCTCTACGTAAGGGTTTAGGTATTTTTGACTATCCGAAGTGTAGAAGGTTCTTCAAAGTACAATAAAGAAACTACCATGAAACACCTTAAATTGTCTAATTGGTTTAGGAGCTAAAAAGTGAATTGCACCAGTAGTTCCTAATATTTGCAAGAAGTAGCAATTTTGACATAAATGTTGAGTTTTTTTCATCCGTGCTTTCAAGACAGTCTAAAACTGTTACATTCTACGTACCTTCAAAGGTGTAAATCACGTTTTGCACACGCATTATCGTTTGCTTGTGCTTTCAGCGCATGCCTCCCTACAGACGCGCTTTTAAGGGTTGTAAATGACGTCATGGATGCTAAAATCAATATCGGTTTTCTGCTTCCACGCTTAAAGCGTAGGTGTCGCGCTTACGCAAGATCCGTGTCACTCGCGCGTGCATACAAACACCACCTCCATCGCAAGAGGGTGGCCGCGACGCAACGAGGACCTCGCCAGCGCGCAACAACCCCGCCCGCGCGCGCGCTCTCCAACTCTCACTCACACGCTGAAATTTCCCGTCATGTCCGTCGCGCATACAATCCGTGTGGTATCTTTCATAAAATAGTGCTGCAAAAAACTGTTTAATCGCAACATACAAACATTGTCTATAAATCGGTTCACGGGGGTGATTTAGTGCAAAGCATATCTGTGCGAATTTTGCGATGCCGGCGCCCTGGATTGCGGCGGGTGGCAATTGCGAGGTAATTCTGACATATTTACACACATACAGTCGCGTATTGTTTCAGTAGCAGAAATATTAAGTCCTGGCAAAATGGTTATGTGTTGTGTAGGTATAATAGTATATATGATATGGATTATCCTGCCAACGTTATGCCGAAAAATGTAAAACTGTTGCGTCTGAAGTGTTTCCTAAAGGTTAAACGATGTTTAATAATGTCAAATGTTACGCTTTATCATTACCAAATCCAAAATCATAATAATTGGCTACGGGTATACTTGACGCATCTTATTTTGATTGTCCTGAGGTTGAATCAGTAAACAAGGATTGTAAATGACAGCTACATATCCGTTTGACCTAGATATTTGCAGAAAAACAATGAACATATTAGCATAACTATATTTTATGTAAATTTTACGTTGTAACATGAATGTAACATGAAAATTTGTTTTAGGTGTTTTAATATGGAACATTTCGACGATGGTTAAGCATTTCAAACCAAAGTAAATACAAATCTAAAATATAACAATATGGAGGATAATTGTAAAGGACCTTTAATAATTGGTAAGTTTATTTATGATAATATTTTGCAAAGGTGATTATTCTCAAGATTTCAAACATATCTAAATCTTTATTTGTGCCTCAAGGCCAATTTTCTCCATCAAGTCTCTAATTCAGTTAGTTCAATGTATATCAACCATTTGCGTTGGCAGAAAATTTCTATTAACACATCAAATATGAAAAGAAAATTGTTGCGAGGTCAAACCTGATTAAACGGCAGATTGCTTGTTTTTTACAAATTCAATTTGAGTGAATGAAAAAATACGTTTTCTTAATATTTGTTGGCAAATGATGAAAATGATTAGAAACACGCCAAGTCTTTATAGTTATATAAATAAATGTAATTTACACGCACTTTTCATTTTGATTACACTTTGTTAATAATTCAAACATTCGGTTGTTAGCTTGAGGCAAGTTGCAAACATTGCGAAACACTCGTAATCAAAAGCCGTAAATTATAAATATACCCTCGCATGGGTCTAAATTAGTATAGAACATGCCACTAATGAAATGGCAGGTTTTATAAATTACTTCATTAGATTATTTTGCTGTAAGTGTTTTTCGCAAAAAAAAAACTAAAAAGAAAATTATGGTGTAATTTTACATATTTCTATACTGTTGGATTTAATTTTTGAAAGCATTCCGCATGAAGCACAAACTATGGCATCTCATTGCCATTGGTCTGTTTTATTTTCTGTCACATATCTAATTTTATAATGCATATCCGTGCACTTACTTCTTATACCAAAGGTCCTCACATCACAGCTAGACTGTTGTCTCCTTCCAACTTGAATACTTACGTTGCTACGATGAATATACACTGCATCAATAGCAGCACAACTCACAACATTAAGCCCAAGATATTTCAAACAAACATTCAACTCTTCACTCTCGCTGGTTTCTTTTGCCCCTGGAGTGTTCCCAGCAAGATCTATACATCTACACACATATACTATAGCCATGCATTGCTGCGTTTATATTTATATTACGTATCGTCGTGCGTATTACAACGAACATGCTGCATTTATATAATGTGTGTAGTTGGAAAACGCTGTTGGCGTTTGGTTAATCCACTGCACTTCGTATAAACATATTAAACATACTCAAGTAGAAAATATGTGATTGAGACGCTGTGAGAGTTGGTTATGATGCAATAGCATGCTTACCATGACGTCATATTTCATAACAAACGTCAAACATTCAACGCTGCCAGCAACTAAAATTTGAGTTTTTGAATGTTTGTCATAATTTAAACTCTCATCAAAGCAAAGTACATGAGAACAAAAGTAGTAGTAATAAATTGCTGTAATTGCTACAAGAGCATAAATAAATTGAATATTTTTAGAAGCTTCTGACAATTTTGATGGAATTACTAGTCTCATGTTTCATAATATACTTTTACTAGCTAACTAAAAGCTTTCTCTATCCAAGTTGATAAAATCAAGAAAGTTTTCTCAATGAAAAAAGCATTCCATTCAAGAAAATTTCCATCACACTAATCCACGCTTTTGTTCTTCTATTATTCTACACGCTCTATCTAACACTCCTTCTTGTTCCTGCCTCTCGACGTTTTTGTTTGTCACGAAGCAACGTACTACAGGCACATAGGATGCGCACGCGGTCATTAGAATGGATGAAACCGTAGACCTCCCACAATAACGTCCATTAGCACGCGCCTCAAAAATCTAAATTGATGCACGCGACGATGCAAGCTGCACCGCCATGCAACATGTAACATTTGTAACTTTTATAACCATCACTGAACGCCCATATGCGCAGAGATGGCATTCAAACGCGTTCATATTATCGCCCGTACACGCAGCTGACACAAAGATGGCACGAAGATGCAAAAGGAAACAAAAGAGTTGAATGTGAATTGATGAGCATGTAGCTTCATGCATGGAACATCAAATAAAAGTCACGCTTCACAAACTGTACGCGGATGCTTCTTAGGCAAATGTCACCAGTATTTGAAAAAGAAAAAACGTCATTATTATATTTTCGTAAAAGTTCAGCAGGATACAGAAAAGATCATAGAAAAACAAAAGCAGACGCATCTGTTCAGCTTTCATTTTCATTCATAACATTAGCAGCGCTATCTAAACAGACTTGAAACATTTATCTCTTCTTTTTAAAAGCTGTGCTTTCCTGCACTATGAAATTGATAAATGAAGTGGCACTTAGGAGCGATCATACAAAGTATTTTCTAAGGGTTTGCGATTGTTGCTGCAGAGAGAAAAGTGTTCGAAAACTCTCGCGCAGGAGTTTTCAAAAGCAGAATGTGGTGCTGATAAAAGTTGAGAAATCATTCCAGCATCCGCTTTGAGACTGCTCCCTTTTTTTGTCTAACACAAAACTGATGCGGTTTGAATGATTCAGTTTTTATCATCAAACGAACCAGCATCGACATAGGCATCCGACTGACGGATGTCTGTAAAGTTAAAATTGAGTTTGCTTCATTCGCTGAAAGTGAAAAATATTTCTGAACCATCGTGGGTGATGTGTTGTTGTTGAACTTGTGAATATATTTTTGCGACTCTATTTTCGTGAATTTTGACCTCCTCGCGACGCTTTGCTCTTTGCAACCACAAACTAAGCTTACGCGCTGCGGCTTCAAATGTGACTTCTCCGACTTCTGAAAGTTGTGCACATGTCGCTGCGCATGTTGGTGGACACATGCGAACATGAAATATAATTAGACTGCCTCTGCTGCGGCGGTTGCGGAGGCAGAAGGGAGCACGCAGCACTCGCTACTCGCCGGTCGAGCGCAATGAGAAGCAAAACGAAATAAAAGCGATGAAACTTATTTTAAGCCGCCGGCGAGCGCGCGCAAACGTGCCTCGCGACGAAAAGCTTCTCCACACGTTTCAGTAATGCGTGGGCAACCGCCATATTCGCGCATCATATCCCCAATTGCGTATAAATCATCAAAGCGTGCAAATCAATCAGAAAATTGATCGGAAAAAGTGTTCAGTGTGTGATACTGTGAGTTTAAGGTGACAGAGTGTAACCGATGTGCATTTGAAGGATTAAATCTGAATGTTTGAAAGTTGTTTGGATATTGTTTGTTTGGCGTCTCGCGTTGAGCGCGAGCGGCCATTTTGAAAACACCATGTTGTCTCCATTATACCAAACAAGCTACCATTCAGAGAAAACTCAGAATTCAAGATCCAAATTCAAGAATAACCCTTGCATAATCGATTTTGTCTGTAAAAATACAAAGGGAATTAAAAGTAAACAAGCGTTATGCAAGAGCTAATTTTGGAGGGACGCGAAGAAAGCAAAAGAAACAAAGACATACCCCACGCTTTCCCATAACTGCTATTAATATCTGTGTGAAAGAAGCGTGGAAAGTATGAACGCCGCCGGCAACAACCAATAACAACCCCAAATAACTTTTAACTACATTCCATATACACCATACAGCTATGCAGTCGTTCTAATTTAATCAGATCGCAGCAAACTTTCTCGAGCTTTCGACGACAAACGTTTGAGACGTGAATAATGCGCAACGTTTCGTCACCTTGTCAACCGACTAATCACATTACCGCATGTTCTTCATAACATTAAAAAACAACTCGACTTCCTTCTGCATTGAACTGACAACTCAATTTTTCAACTTTTTTATTTATGTCCGAATTAACTTGAAACATTTGTTAGAGGAATTAAAGTTATTAACTGCACTTTCTGTGCATCCCAAGTTCAGATGCTAGTTGACTCTTGTGACGTCATCACATTTATTGTCGGAATTATGACTCAAATCTCAAATTCCCATTTTCCTTGTCATGCAACCGCAATTCGGCAGTGTTTGCTTGTGAATGTTTGAATTTGATAGATGCAATGGGAGTGTGAGACTGATTATTGCGCATTGTTATATTATCAAGGGTTTCTGATAAGTTTTGCCGGTTGACACAGTTCCGTCACGCGAGGAAACCATAACCGCAGGAAGTGTTGCGTTGATGTGCGGCACTGAGAAACATTCGAGACATTCAAAACAGGCGACCATCGCAAAGACGGATACGGAGCGTAAGCGGTCCCCAACCGGACAGCTATGTCCTAGCGCCAGAGACATGCTCGTGGTGCTTTTGTGCTGCATGTTGAAGATCGCCGAAATGTCGGGCGGCATGGGCGGCGGCGGTGGAGACGCAGGTGTCGCCGCCACTGCTGCCTCCGTCGTCCGACAGAAAAGACGGTACAGACAGCGGAGGAGATTCCGAGGTGAGATATGATCAAATAATATTCTGTTAAAGCTAGTATAGAGCGGTATAATAGAGTTATATAAATGGGTAAATCCAAAATGGCGGAATAATTGAAGTAGAAAATTGCTAAATTTGCTAGAAAATCGTTTTTGCCAAAAACATTGCTCTGTGCTCGTATTTTACTTCGGATTTAGCTTATTTTCGACTCACTCGTGTGCTCGTAAATTTATTTTTCGTTTTTTGAAAGCTCGAAGTATTCGTTTGTTTACGCTGCCAACATTTATATTTTTTGCGGTACTCTGTGGGTTGGTTTTGCCTGCAAACTGCTTCTACAGTTTTGCGATGAGGCAGCAGTGGGAGCAAACGAGCAAAAATGCGTTTTGGCAATTCTCCTGCTTCATAAGTCGCATGCGGTTTGATATGGTATAGCAAATAAAACATGGCGGGTGAGAAGTAACGATGCTAGAGCCAAAACAAGCAAATTATTGCCGTATTTATCCCACTCGCTTGCCATCAGTGCGGGCAAGTGCTCAATGAGTGAGCAATTTATTTAATGGAAGCTAATTCGTGGGGCGCGTACCGCGATTACTCTAAAAGACCGCGTCAATCGTATAAAACCGGCAATAAACAACTGATTACGATAAAAAAACGCTCAAAATAGATGCTATAAAAATTACCAAAACAATTAATTATAGCAATACAAAACATCTGCAGCGAGGCGCAGGAAAACAAAGAAATGAATGAACGAAGAAGGAAATTTATGCAGTTTGTTTCAATTCATTTTCATCAGCGACATGGCGTCGCGCCTGTGAGTCTGCAACTTGTATTACGAGTCGTAAACATGCTTGCCTATAGTCGTGCCCAAGTTGTGGCGAAGTTAAATTTAAAATCATGCCGACTAGGAGGGAAATGCTCGAGTAGCGAACTTGGTAAACTGTAAACTAGAGAAAATCGTAAAGAAACTTGGCATGCGGCATATTTGCGCCGTTTTTTAAAGGTTTATCTTCGGTTCGGCGAATACGGCTCGTTACGTACTGTCGTTGTCGTAAATTCTCGAGCAACAATTGTGTGCAATTGTCGTTTCGCTTTTGTGCAGGTTTTCGGTAGGTATTGTCAGAAAATTCCACGTATTTACTCACTTTGTCACCGCATACAATCGTAAAAAATAAAATTCCAAAACCATAATTACTAATCTAAGAAACGGAACAGTTATTCAATTCTATATTCAATTCGTTGTCGAATTTTATAGTCGTGACTACTATCGGCACACGGAATAATTGATAAAATTTATGCGGATTAATTGAGGACAGCAACAGCTACTTGTACATGAATCGTCGGTCACGCTGCGAGGACACTAAAAACTATTATTGTTATTGTCTTTTCACTTGCGTTGTTATTAAATTTTTACTACTCTACCGGCGTCACCAATATGGAGCCTATTCCTAAGTCTAGACATTCAATAAAAAAGTGTTTAAACCCTGAAAACGGATACCGTTGATGGCCAAATTTTAATTCCAAAGGATTACCATATGCAGTGGTCTTACATAGACAAAGGGACAAAGAAGTTGAGATTTATTACCATTCGCCCACATGTCGTTCTTCGAAAGAAAATTAACGTATCGGCAACCCTCATTTGGTGATCAGTCTCACGAAGCAATCTTACATGAGAAAATCAAAAAAAGTAGTGTGGTAATGAGAAGTTCCTCCCACAGTTACAAGGGATCAACCCTTGTCGATGTTCAAGTTAAAATTTCACATGCTGCTAATGATTGTCGTGATGTCCCGACATAAGTCATTTATTTCGCGTAGGATTTATGGATTTGGAATGGCTTAACAAAGCCCTTTAACTTAGGGAAGTCGTTTATATTCTAGACTAATGATGAAAGTATTAATAGAAAAGTTAAAGTTAAAATTCGCGGATTGGGACAAAGTAAGGGGCCAAAAATTATTGATATTTTAAGTTTTCAGATATAAGATATGCGAAAAATATGTTTTCTTGGGAAAATACCCAATAAAGATTGATAAATTATGATGCAGATGTTTCTTTTTTACAACTTTTTGAATGTTGAGCAGTAAACTCCCCCAATCTTAATCTAAATCTAAACTAAACACTCGTTCTGCCACAGTATGCTGGTCATATGCTCTCACCCCTCGTTTAAAACGCACATTTCCAACCACTCTCCCCCATTATATTCAAGAACCCAGCATCAAACGCGCGATCGCACTTTTCTAAACCGCGCGTCTGTGCAAGCCATCATCACTAGGTGTGAATCGGCGGCTGCCGTTTCGCTTCTCCCCGTTTTTCGATCACTTTTGCAGGAGTCGCCGGCTCGCACCGCACTCTACGCTCGGCAACTCAGTCTGTCGGCGTCGTCGTCAGCAGTCGCACTCGCGTGTGGCGTGGGTGCAGGCGGAGCGCGTGTGTGCGCGCACTATCAAATTTAATTCGCCGATATGCCCAACTGATTCAACTACTCACGTCGTTATCGTGTTACGTGTGTGTCTCTGTGTGCGTCTACCTTACACCGAGTGCTTATTATTGTTATTATGTGTATTAGATTTCCCAACGTGAGTGTACACGTGCATTATTGTTAATAAACTACATTCATCGCGCAGTGGATTACAAAATTTGCGAGCACGAAACTAAAGTTTTCATTACGAACGACCACGAAGGATAATACCATCAGCCGAAGATGCTTTACAGTCGCAAATAGCGACGACGGTAAAATTTCATATTCGTAAAATTCGATGATTGTGAAACACGATAACAACTAGGTACTTAACATGCTAGAATAAAATTATTACTAATTCTCATTCGGATGATAAGTTAAGTTTTAGTTGTGACTAACATCATTATCAGTAGAATTTAAATTACACTAACGCGTTGGTAAAGTATAATGAAGATTTACATGATGCACAATTGTTATTTTCAACGGAAATTGATCAAATTAAAAGTTTAATCAGATTTTATCTGAAATTACCAGCGGAAATTGGGGATTAAGAATGACAGCACAATTTAATACTTAACGCAAAAATTAACAGTTGAATAAACCATGGTATCTATGTCAAAAATTACTGCTACAATTATGTAAGAATCAAATGACTTCGCTGAGTCATAAATTCCATAGAGCACATCGATTAACATCTTGCAAATGTTGCGGATTCCATTGTAGATGCATCATTATAATCGACAATAAAATATAAATAAACTCACGTACAGCGCAATGCAAAATGAAATTTGTGCGAATTTAAATCGTAATAAATGACGCAAATTCCCACAATTACTGCTCTAATTGCTTTTATAATTGGGCTTTAAAAACATATATAGTTTAAATTAATTCTGAAATGTATATAGATCTAGAAATGGAAAATAATTTATTTTATCATACGTGTCCATCTTGGATTTAATGAAATCCGTTAGAAAGCAATAAAATTATCTATTGTGGTTTTTCGTGTTATAAAAAAATATAACGATCGCAGTTGTGCGTATCACGAATTAGTCGTCGAGTAAAGCTAATTTGATTGCTTAAACAAAGGACACCGCACGTTGTAGTTAGTATAATTCGAGGAGAGCCAAAACGTTCCAAGCCTCCCAGGGCCAGACCAGACGATTATAAAAAGGCGAGCTGCTTACAGCTTATACGAGTACATACGCCGCAATGTCGAAAACTCATACGAGAAGCACGACAAAAGGGACGCCCGCTTTTATTTCGCGCGCATGTCGTGCATGTGTAAAAAGCTCACGTAATACGCGCATAATGTAAAATCTACAAGCCACATCTGCATGATGAGTTTTAGAAATAAAAGATGAAACTAGTATAAAAATCTTACAATTGAGAAACAAAAAATGCAATTTTTATTTGACTATGATTAACAAGTTTTGAGAAATTCGGCGAATAGGGTTGAAAAAGTGCCGTAAAACAGCAACCTAGTAAAACTGCTCAAGCGGCGAAACCTAAAACACTGTTTCAACACTGATACGAGATATGATGGGTTATGCAAATGCTGGACAAACGAAAACCGCGACGAAAGCGAACCTAGGCACAAAGCGCAGACAGAGTTGATACTGATGCTGCATTTTATTTTGCTGCGCAAATTTGCTAACACACACAATGGAATAACCGGGCACTACTATTGTGCACACATGTGTAAGTCCTTTGTATTTGACCCCTATGAAACGAACCCCAACGGAATTGAACACAATCGAAACACATGACTACAAGAAAGTTTTACTCCATCTTGTATCCATCCAATAAATTTTCTAAATTAATTTTTAAATTTTTAATTTTTAAATTGATTTTAAATCATTTTTTCGACAAAATATGAAGTGTTATTGAGAAAACAGAAAAGTGATGTGAGGATTATGTATGTAAATATATGGAGTTCAGAGGGTCGTCCACTCTTCTCATTATTCTTATTTTCTTTATCCCTTTATACCAAACCTTGTTCATCTTGAAAGCATTACTTTCAACATATTCCAATACTCAAGTGCCAGTGATATATTAACATTGAAGCCACCCTTGGCTCCGGCGCCCACTTGCGGCGAAGTCCGGAACGCACACAACATCCGCGACCTACAGCCCCCAGCGGAAGAGGCCGCATCCCAAGCCGACTAGCCACGAACACCGCCGACCAGACCGCGCTGAGGGTGCTCAGCAAGGGATGCTGAGCGACTCGGTCTCTTTACCATCAACATCGCTCGACGCCGCACGCACTTATCGACCTCTTCCGAGCATCATCAACAACCAAGCACAACCTACGCATCATTTTGGCGCAGCCGGTAGGATTCGAAGAGGTATGCAAAAATTCCATTATTGACCTACGATCCGGTAGAAGTACGCGCCCCAAGATGGCCGCTCTCGAAAAGTACGCGGGACGTAGAACCATGCAAGCCGAGTTATGGCTGAACCTGTTCGAAGTGGTTGTCTGCGGCAAAACAGATAACGAGAGGGTAGCCATGCTCATGGGCTATCTCGCGCACGACGCGCTATACTGGTACGCAGCGGACGTGGCCCCACG